AACTAAACTAAACTAAACTAAACTAAAACTAAACTAAAACTAAACTAAAACTAAACTAACTTAACTACTACTTCTCTTCTTCTTCTTCTCTCTCTCTCTCTCTCTCTCTCTCTCTCTCTCTCTCTCTCTCTCTCTCTCTCTCTCTCAATCTCTCTCTCTCTCTCACTCTCTCTCTCTCTCTTATCTCCTTATTTCCTCTCTCACCTCTATCTACCTATTTCCTCTCATGGGAATCTCCATCCCCTTCCAAATCCTTCCCTAAAGATTACTTCCTAATCTATTCCCCAAAATCCTCCCACGAACACCATAATCCTCCCTCTTCCCACTTAACTTATCATAGTGCTGTTTCTATTCCTAAGATGAAAATTAAAAAAATAAAATAAAATCTTGATAACCCCAATTTTATTTGCATCATTATCATGAGGTTGGGATAAGCTCGACCTCGAGCTTGAAGCCAATGGACTAAATGGTGATGTACTCCCACAATGCGCCATGGTACTTTTTCTTCAATAAACGGATTCATAAAATACTTTTTGCTCGTCTTAAAGTAGAACACTGAGATTTCGAGCTTAATTATGATTTCTTTTTCAAGTTCTTCATAAAACTTGGGAAGATCAAGTTGAATACCAAGATCATATGGATGCTCCTCAAATCACATTTCTTGTATCACAATTTGATTGTTGCATTCAAGATTGGCACCTTGAGTCGGTTGTGAGACTCGATTTATCTCTACAACAAAATCTGGAGTTGAACTTTCATGGTTGCGAGCACCATCTTCTCGAATAATGGCATCCTCCAACTGTTGTAATCGGTGATTCATTTCACAGAATTCGATTTGAACATCCTCCATGACTTTGGTCAAATTTTCTAAAACTGGTCCCAGTCAATCATCCATATGAGGATTAGCTTTCGGTGGCATTGCAATAGTTGGATCTTACTTGCTCTGATACCAACTGATGCAATAGAGGGAAGAAATAATTAAAATAAAAATAAGAATAAAGGTAAAACAAAAATAAGAATAAAGGGTGGAAGAATATACCAACTCTCTGGGTCCGCAAAGTCCACCCCTAAAAGATCTTTTCCAACAATTCTTTACTGAATCACCAAATTCTCTTCTCTTTACAATGAGGGACCTCTTCTCTTTAAATACACTTGGAAGAGAATAAATAAATAAATAAAACCCATAGAAAAATAAACTCGCTCTCTAAAAAGTCATGTACATCTTTCCCTTATTCTCTCTCTCTCTCTCACGCCTATCTCCCTATTTCCTCTCACAATAATCTCTATCCCCTACCAAATCCTTTGCTAAAGATTACTTCCTAATCTATTCCCAAAATCCTCCCATACGCACCAAATCCTCCCACTTAACATCTCACACACCAAAATCCTCCCTCCTCCCACTTAACTTCTCCTAGCGTTCTTCCTATTCCTAAGATAAAAATTAAAAAATAAAAATAAAATAACACTTTGATAACCCCAATTTTTATTTGCCTCCATGACTATAGCAATTGAGGGTAAAGACAAGGGTATTTTGTCATCTTTTATGGGTATGTGCTTCACTGTCACCCATAAGAAGTAGATGCATGAGCAAATTTCCTAACATCTTAACGATCTGAAGATAGTCAATATACCTCTATTATTTAATGAAAACAATTGTCTTTTAACAAGTAACTGTCAGTATTCAACCACCAAAGAGATCTTCTTTGGAGTCTGAATTAGCCACAAATGTTCAATTCAAGGGCTTCAATATTTCACTGATGAAATACCTCTTGCAAAGGTGAGGTAGTAGCCAATTCATTAACGTTCGGAGTTCAAGGAACACGTTTAAGTATTTGATTCTATAGTCAAAAAGGAAAAAGAGGAGCGGTGAAGCGGAATTGTTGCCTTCGCTGTTACTGCTCCTCTGTAAGATGCGGGAACCTGATTCGAAAAAAAGGATATGCCGGGAGTGGGATTGCTTGTGCGTGCTGACTTCCCCCCTTTGCATTAGTTTCTCCCTTCTGCTTCTGTTGCTGTTGTTTGGAAAGGTTACATGAGCAGATCTCCATGTGCGTGCGAAATGCATCTGATGATCCCTGGTGGCGTTGTACGATATCTCATAAATGTATTTTATCCAAAGGGGTTTTCAGCCGTTTGTTCACTCAGTCTTGTGCATAAGGCGGTTGACCCCTTTAATTGTCAAGAAATTCATTCAGTTCTAACACAGTACCAGAGCTGATCAAACGGAAACGAATCCAGACTCTATAACATTGAGTTTTCTGTCATTGGATCATTGTAAGGTTTCATTTTTAACATCAGCAAGGTTTTTGGATCTGTGACACATGCTTCTGCAGCATTACAACCCCTGAAAATGTAAAAAGTTTAGGGTTTTGGCATACCTTATCTATGTATCTGCAGAATCATATGTGGACCATTTTTAGGAATTGAAACTCTGCCTACTAGAGCACATGGACTGTGCAAGAGGCATCTGATGAAGTTTATGAGACAACAATTTCTGCGTAGAGAAGCCTTAATTGGGAGTGCTTCAACAACTTCAAGGCTAAAAGAAAGCCTTAGTACAATTTACCTCGAGAACTTGTCCTTTTAAGAGCTCCATGAAGACCCAACACATAACACTGAAACATAGTTCCCAGGATCTGGTTGGGAGTGAGGGATCGTGAACGGCAAGAAGGTCCCTAGGTCTGTCCGTACACCCCAAAATTTAGGGATCCAGATCCCACTATTTTGCGAAGCTCGATCCCAACTTCCAAGGATTAAATGACAAGTTCTACAAGTTCGAGCACCATCTAGAAAAAAATCGAGGTCCTCGTGGACATTTACCTAGGGTTCCCATGGTCGGGAGTTCATTTTAATATCATAAATAATAAATGAAGTTCTAAAAAATCAAAATTTTATTCAATATGTAAGAAATCCAAATGTTCTATAATAATTTTATATTTTTGTACTCCTTTAGTGCAGTTTGTAGTTTAATATAAGTAATACAAATTTTAAAGAAACTGAAACTTAAAAAATATCAAGAGAATTGGATGATTATATAATATTTTCATTTTTGCACTCCATGAGTGTAGTTCATGACTTCACGAAACATAATGCTAATAATGGCCATCCATCTTCGTTGCTAAAAGATTATTAAGATAAATATTGACTCGTAGCCCAAGGTAACTCGCAACATATTAAAAAGGCCACAAAGGACAATATAGTCAACCAACATCAGAAATCATGTTTGTCAGCAACCATGCAACTAGTATATTATAGTACACCTAATAACGTGCTACTAATTATGCAAAACAGCTGTCAATTAACATTAAGTAGAAGCTCAACATTCGAACTCATGACCAGTTAAAGAGGCCAAGAGGGACACTAGAGTCAAACATTAAGGGAATCTTCATCCTATGTTGTTGGAACCTCAGTTTAGTTTACCGAAGAACAATGGATATGGTGTCCAGGAATTTGGATCCCGTGCAACTAGGGATCTCCATTCCTGATAGGAAGGATCAAGATCCCAAAGTTCAAAAATCACAGAGGAGCAAGATCTCCTCTTTGGAGGGCAGAAGCGAGCTTCCAGAGTGGGATCAACTCATTGGTTGAGAGATCCCGATAGCTATGCACCAAAGCAAATACACAGGGTAAAAAATTCCATTTATTGCCAACAGGATTCGTAATCTTTCATGTATGGATCCTATGAAAGAGCCTTAGCTAGTGATGTGATGAAGGATATTAAAGGATTAGTGCCAAAGTGAGACCTCTAAAAGACTGGACCACCCAATCACAGAGGCATGCAAAGGTGAACAATGATTGTAGTTCCCCAGAAAATGTTTCAGCAGTAAGTGTCTACAGGATCCTAGGTGATGAAGGTGGATCTAATATAACATTACAATGTCTCAAGGGAAAATTGGCTTGAGCATTGCAAAATTCAGTGCATGTAGAGAGATGCAGTTATAGTCAAAGAATGGGGCAATTTTTCATGCATTATTGAGATGTTTATGTATTAATAAAGTTATAACTCATGACAACAGAACATCCCTGTGAGGATGGGTTTAGACATTGAGATGGACAAAGGATCTTTTAAAGCACTATCCATGTTGAGGTGCTAGTCACGTGCTTGAGAGAGTAAAGAGTGCCCAAGAAACACTAGCAGACACCTTTGTGTGACTTAGAGAATAATCCCAATTATTACTCATCCAAAAATACTCTCCAGCTAAAAGAGGAGTTCAGTGCCCTAATTTGATAGTCATCCGCCCAAATGAATACCTCATCCAACTCCTATTTTGTTTCTCTCCACCCCTTCTTCGGGAGCATACATTACACATTTTTTGGCAGGACATTTTTGTTTATAATTCTATAATTTTGTAGTTTGCATTTTGCATTTTCGTCCAATGACAGAATTGTAGAGATACACTTCTAATACAAAATTTATTACTCAAAAGCAACAATTGCACATCCAGAAAAGTGTTCCAGTGTGATTCCACAACAACAAATGTACAAAAGCAAATGAGGTTGTAAGAAAATATTAAATAATGAAAGTGCGACTTTCAAACTTTTGGCAAACAAACTAAAAACATGTACTACCAACTCATGTCCGATGACATTCAACATTACCAAATTATCAATAATAATGATTACAGTAATATGAACCTAACAAAAGAGGAATATTTGATTCGATTATAAGATTCATGATAACAGTCCCATATGCCCACAATGATTTGCCAAGAAAGATAGAGTGAACAAGAAAAATATTGTCACGATAAAGACAAACCATAATTCTTATTAAAAAAAGAAAATAACCAAATAGAAATGAAATTACAATTTTAAAAATACCTTTTGGGGGATCCGTCTCAAAATATCGATAATTAAAATGCAACGTGGGAGCAAACGGGTTCTTCGGATGCAAAACCTACAAAACAGTCAAATTTTCTCATCACTGATATAATGCTACTTTCTTATAAGGAAATGTTGAACAGTGTAAGTTATTTCCAATATTAACGAAATAACTATAACGACGTGTATTTAATAAGTAAGCAAAAAAACCTACAGACAAACGGATAAAAAAAGTTTAAACAAAATAAAACCATACAGACAGCAGAGTGCTTTTCTATGTGCTTTTAATTTTTTTCTATTCCATATGCAATTCTGAATTAATAATAGTTGTCAACAAGAATACAATTCTAAACAGGCCGACAAATCAGCACAAAAGCAATTTGTAAGTTTATATCATAGCTTCCAGTAATAAAGCAAACATAATAGTAAAGCTAAAATGGACACCAACAAAAAATGATTACTGATTATGGGGAGCTCTGCTTGTGTAAAAAATACAAAAACAAAACACCCGACCTACTAGGGGAACATTCAAACGTCAGGAGCATATCAAAGTGCAACGGTCAAAAACGGCAGCTACAAGTCCTGGTCATGTGGTAATATCAAATTATGCATTAAAAATGCTAATAGAAGAGAAATATGCAGGCTTGTTCCTCCACAGCCCATATCTCAATATCAAGTCAGTGAAGCTTGCTTACAGAAGTTTGGAAATTGACACAAGCTCCTCAAAATTATTGATCAAACATGCAGAAAAATATTCTCAAGCCCAAGTTCATCTCCTGTGACCCCCCAACCATCTGAATTCAGGCCCATTAGAAACCAATAAGCTCGGCAAGAGTGACAGAGGGGAAACTATCAGAAAAAAGAAAATGAGAGAGGGAGAGAGAGAGAGAGAGAGCAGCTTCAGAAGAACCGAACAGACTGGAAATAGCAAGCAAATCAATAAATAACCTAAACCTATGGATCCCAATAAAACAAAATAGAAGAACACTAAAATCTCAAAAACTGCAGAAGAAACAAACACAAACTAACATTCCCATCATGGAACATGCTGAGCAAAAACCCACAATTAACCAAAAAAAAAAAATTTGGGAATCACCATCAATGGCATATGCATAGAAAGAACAGAAGAAAAAAAAAAAAAACCAAAATTCAAAAACAAATAACTAGGGTATCTCTAATCAATGCCATAACCTTAAAGAGAAAAGAAAATAAATCAATGGGATAAGCTTCGCAAGAAGAAAGCAAGAGCAAGAAAATAAAAAACTAAGTTTGCTGATAAATGGCATAAACTTAAAGAAGAAAAAAGAACAATACCGAGCTAATACCAGCTGCAAAGAAAGGCACAGGCCCAGGCTTCACACTAGGATCCAAAGAAGCATCTCCCTTCGCGGCTCTATAAGCATCAGGTGGCATTTGTCCATAAACTACAGAGACATTAACACCAGCTTTCTCCCAAACATGACCATCCTGTAAAACCCTACTAATTCCACCACCACCACCTGGTCTAGACCACACATCTTCCTTAAAGGAAGCCCCCTTATCAACCTCTTCAATGGCTGAACAAACAGTATCCTGAGCTTCCCTGATCATGCGTTCGAATCGAGCCCTAACAGAAGAGGGAGAAGAAGACGAAGATGAAATGGGGGGATCCTCTTCTCCTTCTCTCAAGAAGGTTTCAGGTCTTTCTGAGATTGCGGTTTCCTTTTCGATAATGGCCGCTAAGGGTTTGCGACTGAATTTTCCATTGTTGGGTGGCGTTCTGAAGGTCGGCAATTGCAGGGTTTTGTTGAGTTGCAGAGGTGTGAGCGGAAAGAGATTCGAGCGATGTTTGAAAGAGAGAGAGACGGGAGGTGCAGAGGAGAGAGAAAGAATAGCATTGGGCATTTTAAGGCCTCTGCGAGTTGTAAGAGAAAGATGATTTGTGCGCAACAAGAGAGAGATAGATTCTCTGCAACTGATGAGGAATTGAAATAAGAGAAAGGGGGGCAAGAGGGAGACGGAAGTTTAAATAGGGAGACGGAAGTTTAGAGAGAGAGGCTGTGATTTGGAGAGGTGCATTTTGTTAGATTTATGGAGGGGAGGGGAGAGAGAGAACCTGCGGGCTGCGAAGCCCCTGGTTTTGGAGATGAAGCTAAGTCTTCCTACTGTTACTTTCATGGATAAGGCCCTTGTTTCTCTAGGATTTTTTTATTTTTTATTAATGCCAAATGTGTTTCCAGGGCTGCAGCACCACCAAGAAAACTAAATAAGTACGGAAGAAGTTTATATATAAGTGTGACGCTCTAAATAATTAAATTAGGGCACACCTCAAAAATTTACTAGAAGACGTTGCTTTTAGACTCAAATATCTTTGAATTGATCATCTTACATCTTTAAATTGATCTTTTCGAACTCATGATGCAGGAATAAGAGTAAAAAATAGATTTCAAATTTTGGAAAAAGTGTATCTTGTTATGCGTTTTTGCACTCTCGATTTTCAAGATGTTTAAATCTTCATATATATACTCGATCTGCATTATTTTTAAAACTTTAAATTTTATGACTAAAGATGAAAATAAATTTTATAATTAAAAATAAAAATGAATTTTTAGGTTATCGCAACTATTTTTAATATTAAAACCAAATATCTTGACACTATGAAAGTGCGCTTTACTTTGATTCTTTAGACTCTCGGTCTTATACAAATCGCACCCAATAAGTAAAGCCTCGCCTTATAACTCATCTAAAATTGCAATTCAAGTTTTAGAAAACCGTTACATTGATCATCTTGGCTTGAACATTATGGTTGTGAAAAACAATAGAATTTCAAGCTCTAAAAATATTATATATTGTACAAATTATCTAGATTATCCATTTCACCTTAAAAATAAGTATTCATAGATCCATAAGATTTGTATCGTTTTTTTAGTTTTGAATTTCATCATTGGTGTTGGAAATTGATTTTAGAGCTATCATAGAGATTTATGTTGCCGAAAGTCCTTTTCATACGAGATTTAATGTGAGGCTTTATTTTGTTTCATAAAGCCTAGGCCTTATAAAATCCTCACCCTTTTCAAAATATTGATTATAAATTGTCTAATTTTTTAAGGAAAATGGTTTGATCTATCAAAATAAGTAAAGCGTCACCTAATAACTCATCGAAAATTTTGATTCAGACATTGAAAAACCTTTACATTGATGATCTCGACTTGAACATTATTGTTGTTAAAAAAAAAAAAAAGGATTTCAAGCCTAAAAACTAGTGTATATTTTAATAAATTATCAAGACTGCCCATTTCTCCCTAAAAATAAGTGTTCAAATTTGTACATTTTTTTAGTTTTAAATTTTATTATCAGAGTTGGAAATTGATTTTAGAACCATCATAAAGATTTTTGTTGCCGAAAGTATTTTTGAGACAAGGATTAGAGGTGATGCTTTATTTGGTTTTCATAATACCTAGGCCTTATAGAAACTTCATTCATCCATTTTTTAATGCTTAGATCTAATTGTTACATTAAACACTTGAAATTCAAGTTTTGTTGAGAATAGTTGTATGGTTCGTAAGTGAATTCCAAAATTTTCAATCAAAAGAATTCCAAGTGTTATATGATTCAACATTTACTCATAGTGACTGCTGTGGATCCAAAATTTTAACTCCGGACAAAAGTGTTCCTGCAGGACTTGGAGGAGCAAATACACAGTGTGCTCCGGCTGGGGTGTACTACCGGTCGACAGAGGGAGAGGTGAGACCCAAGCCTCGGGCGACAGGACGGTCAAAATCTGGATGGCTGTAATCTGAGAATATCAAATGTTTGAAGAATGAGGCGCTTAAAAAATAAATGTAATGAAAAGTATTCAATAATGTACCACTAATTTACATTTTTTCAGACGTCAATATTTCCTTTCATTGATATTGTCATAAATACTATACGAGATTAATATTTCTTACCTCTACAAAGTTGAGCTACAAAACGATTCAAAAACGAGTAATGCAAAACGATGTGCTTCTCTTCACCTTTCTTAGCAATTGAATCCAGTTTGACATGGTAAAATAGTACCTCATGGAGATATGCTCTCCTAGACAAGGAAAACGTTTTTTTATGATTCCTCTACTGCAAAGATATATACTTCTCCCTTAGATCAAGGGAACTGCTAACCATTTAATCTAGATCCGACACTTTATAGTATTTTTTTTATTTTTTATTTTTATTGGCTACATGAATATAAAATTTAGTATGTGCCATCACTTCAATAGGGTGTACCTAAATAAAATATTTAAAAATATTTTTGATAAAATATAATGACTAAAATACCCTTGAAACAGTCATGGGCATTTTAGTTATTTCATATTTTAATAGAAATATTTTTTTGATTTTTTTTATAGGCGTGAGTCCAAGAGAAGACTGGACACCCAAATTTTGGTCTAAAAATGTTTTGTATAAAAAAATAAAAAATAAAATGGTATAAAACGGACGGTTGGATAGGGGAAGCATAGAAGTTTTATGTTGCATAGAAAGCGTAGAAAGCTTGCCCCCAAAACAATATTTGAAAAGTCAACTTGGGCTATGCCCCACTAGACAATTTGGGCTCAACGAGGGCTTGAGGCGGAGTAACTCAGTGGAGTCGAAACAACTCAACCGACTTTTAAAATACTGATCCTAAACTTTGCAAAAATCATTCAAAGGGCAAATCTTTTCACTATTATCATTGGCCTATTTGTCGCATGCAAAATATAGGTCATTACTGTTGTATAATAATATTTCATGAGTCCTAACTTAGTTGGACCTCTTTAAATAAGAACCGTAAGGAGCTCACAATTGCTACTACTAGCCGTTAAATATCAAATTGGATGGCTTGGTGAATGTCATAAAGTTCGAGAACTTTTTTTGAACTTTGAGTCTAGTGAATGATACACTCATAAACTACCCAGTTTCAAATCTAACAGACAAGATGATGATGATATCCTTCTATTAAATGTAAATGTCCCTTCACATATTTTTCCTTTAGTAATCTCACTCATGCGGCAAGACCTTATCCATCTTGATGAATCCAAGAGGATGCCCTAGAAATGATTAGGTTAAGTTTCTTATCATGATCATTAAGCCAACCATTCAAATGGTCTTGGTTTTTTTTGAGCTTCCATCAAAATTAAGCTTGATAAGTGGCGAGTTACTCTTATCGGTTGTGGGCTATCACTCAGAACTTGCCATGAGAATTGGCAAAGGAGAACCTAGAGAACTCCTTTATCAACCTAGTCCTCAATATTACAAACGCTCCAATCTTACTCTTAAGCGAATCAGGATTTGAGGTGAGATCCTTGAACGTCTGATTGTTTCTTTCTCAGCCAAGATAGTGTATATGGAAATTGTCGAAAGCGCAAAAGTGATCACAATAAAAGAAAAAAGAGTGATTTAAAAAAATTTAGAACATATGGAGCAAAGTGTTTGTAATACATTTTTATGAAAATTTAATCTGAAAGTATATTAGCTCTACAAAAAACATATCGAATTTAAATGAGTTCTATTAGGATGTTCTCTTTATAACGAATATTCTAGACCTGCTCAATACTTTTTGACACTTTATATAGTATTAAATAATTAATCAAGGCTAAAATTTAAATTCATGTTGGAGAAAATAGTTTTTATTAACTATGGTTGGAATGACATCTATAATATGGGACTTAACATCATCCGCATGGGGTATAAATCATCGACAATGACTATTAACTGATTTCTCAACGGATAAAATTTCATTGTCTACTTCTACAAATATTTATTTTACATCTCACTAGTGGCAAAAAATGTCCCACTTAAAAAAATTTGCACTAAAAAGCAAGAATATTGGGCGTACTGTAAATATTAAGTAGGTTAAGAAAATAATCTATAAAAGAGAATAACCTAACAAAATCTTGAATATGATTAAAAGATCGTTGAGTAACTTTTAGTTGACCTACTTGGCTATGGCTTTGTATGTTTGTACGGGGAGGAATCACATAGAAAGATGCTAAAAACTTTTGTGTGCTTGAAAAGCATGATATTAAAATATAGAAAAAATTTATTTAAGGATGCAACCTTATAATGTAGAACTACGGATGCATCTCAAAAATCCATCAGAAAAGGTAGTTTTAATGTTGAAAAACCCTTTGATTGATCATCTCAACATTGAGATGTATGACCATGAAAAATAAAAAGATTTTAAGTCTCAGAAATAATCCATTTTACAACATATTATGTACACCGTCCATTTTCAAGATTTTCATATGTTTATAGATCGACTTGATTTTAACTATTTTTTAAATTTATAATTTTATAATTATATATAAAAATAGATTTTGAGATAATTCTAAAAACATTTTACATCAAAATTATATACCGTGATAAATTTTGAAGGTGCACCTTACCTCTACAGCTACGAATGCATCCGTATGTCAGCTGCACCCTTAAAATATTTCCATTTCAAAAGAAAAAATCACTTATGGTCATTTTCATTTGGTTTTGTGAGTAGCCTTAATGTTAAATGCATGGTTTGCTTTCTGTGCGAAATGGAGATCGAAAAGCAAAGGTATATCCATTGTTTTCTTTCAACTCCTTAAAAGAAAAAAAGAAAAAGAGAAAGAAAGCAAAGCTCTTTATGTAGAGGTTTTGGAGGTGATCCAAAGAAGAAGATGAGAATACCAGGCGATAAAGGTTCCTGTAGGTGGTTTAAATAAGAAGTTGAGAACAATAAGTAATAAAGTTGGTTTATTAAAAGCAAAAATATCTCTGTACACCATTTTTTTAGGTTTCATTTCTCAACAAACCCAATGTTTCAAAATATAGAGATCCCATATGTCATATCTCCTAACCCCCTAGATCAACTTTACCCCATCTTTTTAACCTAATAAAGACCTTTTTTTTTATTCCTTTCTAAACCTCCTTCTCTCTCTTCCCGTGTTTCTCTTCAAACCTCTCTCCTTTTTTTTCAATTTATCTTAACTATTGTATATACTCAAGGATTGCCACAAATCTCATTTTGAGACCAAACTGTGGGATTAATGATCCTAGGGCCATTACATGCCTCTTCACTTTATTTAGGAGAAGTTTGGTTATAAGTTGGTAAATTTTGAGCAATTTCATTAGTTTAAAGGGACTGAAACAGTCGAATATACTCAAGGACTCTCACAAATCTCAAATGGAGATCATGGGATCAATGATCCTAAGGCCAATACATGTATCCTCACCCTATTTAGGAGTAGTTTGGATATAAGTCTGACAAGTTCTTAGGGACTTCGTCAGTTAAAAGTTCTTGAACAGCCGAACCTATAAAATCCTCATCATATCATATTCATTCAAGGTGAAACTTCGCAGATGACAATTGTTGGTCACTATATGTCTTCAATTCAAAATTCATCGGATTTAGATCCGCCGTCCGTTAAGAAGGCTTAACCGATGAAATCATTCGTTATAAATGAAAAGTGACTTTTGACCTATGGAAATATCATATTTGGGGTCGAATAACTAACTTCCTAAGGTTTTAGTCATATAGCAATGGGTTCAGTACCATTATCACCACCTTTACTCATCTTTTGATGATTTAGCCGATCTAGATTGCATATCTAGTCTGGATCGTTACAATGCGTGGGCAATTGAAAATTGAATTCCAGGTCTTAAAAAATTGGTTTAGGTGACAACTATTCAGGAAATTTATTTGGTAAACTCCATCTTCTTAGATTATTTTTTTGAGAAACTACCTTCATTCCCATAGCACATGGTAAGTAAATAAAAACTGGCAAGAGCTGAATATGTTTTTACGAAAGGAGAGTGCATTTAGAGGACTATGCATGAAGCAATTAGAAAATGATGTTTTGAAAGCTTTAAATCATTCTTGAATTTTTTATATTTTATGTGAGGAATGGAACCATATGCTCTTTTGCTCCTATAATTAGGAAAGAAATGAATAAGGATATTCCCATATCCTCAACCTCAAATCTTCAAGCATTCTCTCATCTATAAATTGGTTTTCATGGATAATGTTGTATAACAAAGGCAATTTGGTAAACCTTATTGCATTATATTTGACCATTAGGGTCATACACTCAATATGAATCTTTCTCAAATTGTACTGAAAGGAAATACCTATCAAGAGACCATTTATTTTTAGTACAAGGTCATAATTATTCTTGTCCCTCGGATTTCAAATCGGATAGTTGTGTTGTATCACTGACTGTATCATTGACTAGGTTCAAAATTTGTGACACCACGGCTGTGCAATTTGAAATGAGATGGCTAAGGGTATTTCTGACCTCCTTATAACAAAGGTAAATAGTCTGATATTATACAATCCCTTAATAAAACAAGGATTAAAACACATTTCTTTCATTTACCAAAATAATCTCTCCCATTCAAGGGTACAACAAAACAATGCAAGTCACAAATAGGTTATATGTGAGACAAAATCTGGGCCAATCTCTCTACTGTGTACATGAAAGAAAATTAGCAAGACATTAGAGACAGAAAGGACAGAGAAGGAAGCATTCATGAAAAGGGAGCTCCAATCAGGCCTTCTTGTGTGAGGTGACACTTCTATCTGTGTTGCAACAAATTCGCGTCAGCTTGTCCGAGACTTGTCGAGCAGTCGGGCGATCAACCGGCATGAGCCTTGTGCATTCCATGGCAATTTGAAGGACCTCAAATATTGCAGACTCCTCTGACGAGGTGAGAGGTCTAAGTGAGGAATCCAAAACCTCCTCATGAGTTGGGCTTGGGCTTGCTAGACAGTGTCCAATCCACTGAACTATGCCCATGCCTTCGGGCAAGCTTGAGTCAATAGGCATCTTCCCAGTCACGAGCTCCATCAACACGATCCCGACACTATATACATCGCTCTTCTCGGTCGCCCGTAGAGAGTAGGCATACTCTGTAAGGAATGGTATAACAACCCACAATACATTTAGAATTGACTAAAAATCTATTTTTTAGATTCATAATTATTAAAGTCGAGATGATCAATTTGAGAGATTTTCATTATTATAGTTCAATCTTCTCGCAGGATTTTGATGTGCAGCTTTACTACCATAATGTCTATCTCGAACTTTATGACATACCCAAACTAATAGATTTTACATAAGATGGTTGTAAATAATTGTGACCTCGTCATGTCAAAAGCAAAAGGTCTCATTATATACAAACCCTAAAATTTATTCCTTTATAAGTAGTCACCCTTGGCATTTAATAAATCTTCAAATAGTGTCAATCCTCGAGGTATTCTCAATCTAAACCCTAGATAAAAATATTCAATACGTTTTGGAATAGCATAACAAAGGTCAAGCACGTTAGCAGATTCCGCTCGTAACAGGTGAAAAACCGTTTTAAATATTGCACAAAGGAATTTGTGTAGAAAAGAATGCATTTTTTAAGAGCGATTGAAAATGTAAAGGTAAAGGGATCATAACACAACAAGCGGAAGACGACCAAATTCATGTCAACGATTATCAAGGCTTTTAGGTTATCCTCTTAATCTAATCACAAAAGTCAGCATATAACTAAAAGAACTTATAGATTATGTTTTTGTCAATTGTTTATAGATAAGAGAATATAGCCTATAGAAAACGACACACCAGGCATCATTTGAGAGAGAGAGGAGAGAGAAAGAACGTTTAGAGAGAGAGAGGGCAATCCGAAGGTAGAAAGAGAAGCAGCCCTTTTTTGAGAGAAGTTTTCAATTAGGAGTGAGAAAGGATTGACTACTTTCCATGAAACTTTGAAAGTGTTTGAAAAATGAATTAATGAAGCGGATTGTCCACCCTTGATCTTGATCTGGATTGTCCGGATCGGTAATTCTGATCATTCCTATATCATTGGATCAATGATCTAAATAAAAAAATAAAATTAAAAAATTAACAATAAAAATAAAGGTTTATATATATATATATAGTAAGGGTAAAAGGTTCAGGACAATATTAGATAAAACTTAAAAAAAAAAAAAAAAAAAAATTGTGAACATATAGTTCAAATTTTACATTTAAATCGACGGTCCAACTAAAAAATACGGCCTTTCAAAACACTTCTTTTCAAAAAATGTGAGGGGAATGTGTGCCACAGGTGACAGAAGAGAGAGGACAGAAGAGAGAGGAAGAGGGGGAATAGAGAAGAAACGTACTGTAGAGAGAGACACAAATGGGAGAACCAACACATAGGGGTGGCAATGGACCCGTATACCAACCTTGGGTCCGGATGCAGGTCCAAAATTTAGACCTGAATACTATTCAAGATCGGGTTTGGGTCCAGCCGGACCCAACCCATACCTGACCCGTTGCCACCCTACCAACACATCAAGAGACTATTAGAGAGAGAGATACTGTAATAGCAAGACCTTAGAGAGAGACTGCTCTAAAGACGCACAGTTGAGAGAGAGTTCTCTTGAGAAATACAATTAAAAGAGAAAAAACTTGGAGAGAGACAAGAGAGAGAGTACTAAGACCTCAGAGAAAGCTTTTAGAGCGACGCTCTATAAGAGGGACAGAGAGAGACTAACCAGGAGCCATGTAGCCATAGGACCCAGCAAAGTGTGAAGTAGACTCAGTGGCGCCCATGGAGTCCACAGTGTCCTCCACCACTTTGGCGAGCCCAAAGTCCCCCAAATGTGCCTCCCCATCCCCATCGATCAGCACATTGCTGGACTTAATATCCCTGTGAACAATCCTCGGCACACAGTCATGGTGCAAATACTCCACCCCCTCCACCAGCCCCTTGGCCACCCTCAACCTCCCCACCCAATCCATCCTCTTCTTCCCCCCCTTGCTGTGGATCCACTCCCATAAGCTCCCATTTACCATGTACTCATAAACCAGAATGTTGATTTCTCCCTTTGAGCACCACCCCAAGAGCTTGACAAGGTGCCGGTGCCTTATGCGCCCGAGCGTTTGTAGCTCGCGACCGAAGCTTTTGTCGAGCATTATCTCTCCGGTGCCTGAGAAGATCTTTTTCACTGCTAAGACATCACCATTGGGCATCTCGGCTCTGTATATTGTGCCGGAGCCACCAGCTCCCACCATGAATTCTTCGGATAAGCTGTTGGTTGCCGACATAATATCTTCGAAAGTCCACTTGGCCTCGCCCTTTAGGGGCCGGCGGCTAGAGCCCCACAGTGAGGCCCCCCATATGGCTCCCCTTTGGGCTGAGGTCTTGCAGCGAAGGGCGATCACGGTGGCCACGAGAATGGCAAGTGCAAAACCAGAGACTGCAGCAGCGGAAATGCCTGCAACCGAGCCAGGGGTGAGAGCTCGGTTGTTGGGGCCTGCAGTGGTGCATGGTTCGAGAGGTCGCCCGCAAAGGCCAGGGTTCGCATTCAGAGCATCGGCAGGCCACTTGGAGAGGGCGTCGGGCAAGGGGCCTTGCAAGGCATTGTGCGAGAGGTCAAGTGCGACGAGGCTGGGCATGCGGCCGAGCTCTGAAGGGATCGGGCCTGAAAGAGCATTGAAAGAGAGGTTGAGTCTCTCTAGGTTAATGAGGCCGGCAAGCGAGGAAGGGATCTCGCCGGTTATGTTGTTTTGGCTGAGATCGAGACCGCTCTGCAAGGCCTGGAGTTCACTGATTTCAGGTGGAATTGGGCCACTGAGCTCGTTTTCGGAGAGTCTGAGAAGGAATAGGCTCTTCCACTTGGCTACGGTGTTTCTGGTAATTGGGCCGGAGAGGTGGTTCCCGGAGAGATCGAGGCTATTGAGAGAGGCAAGCTCGCCGAGCTGTTCAGGAATGGGGCCGGCGAGCCCGTTGTGGTCGAGTGCAAGGGTGAGGAGTCCTTTGCAGCTGCCCAGGCTTGGTGGAATGGAACCCACCAAGTTGTTTTCCGAGAGCCTGAGCTCGCCTAACTGGGTCAGGTTCCCAAGCCACGGTGGCACCTCGCCGGAGAGGCCATTGGAGCTCAGGACCAAGTGGCTCAGCTTCGTGCATTTTGCGAGCTCACTAGGTATGGTGCCATTGATTTGATTGTTCGAGAGGTCGAGCATGTAGAGCTCCGCTAGCTGGCCAAGCTGCAGCGGTATGACACCGGCAAATTGGTTGCTGCCAAGGCGGAGGCGCTCGAGACCTTTCGAGCGACAAAGTAGGGCAGGAACCACTCCTATGAAGCTGTTATTGCTGAGATCAAAGGAGAGATAGGAAGGAGAGTAGCATAGAGGAAAGATTGGGCCTGTAAGTTTGTTGTTAGAGAGATTCACCCTGGTTAGGTTCTTGCAATTTCGAAGTTCTCTAGGGAGCCATCCACTTAAGCTGTTATTGTAAAGGAGGAGCATTTCCAGCGATTCTAAGTTACCAAAAGTCACCGGAATTTTCCCTGAAAGGCGATTATCGGCCAAATCCAGGGTTTTTAGGCTCTTGCAATTACCCAAGCTCGCCGGAATCGGCCCTTCAAGATCATTCTCTCTCAAATGAAGGAAATTCAAATTGGCCAACCGCCCTAAAGTGACTGGTATACTCCCACTAAATTTATTCCCATAGAAATCTACTTGCTTTAGGCTGGAACAGTTACCAATCTCAGCTGGAATCTCGCCGGAAAACTGGTTTTCATAAAGAAATAGGGTTTCTAGACTCTCCAACAGTCCAATTTCTGGTGGTATGGGCCCCTCCAAGTGATTATGAAAGAGAGCAAGAGTTTGCAAGCTGCTAAGGTTACCTATAAAGGAAGGGAGCTCCCCCACTAAGCTATTGTTATGAAGAAGAAGATCAGTTAGGTTGCTCATTCCCCAAAGACTCGCCGGAATCTCCCCCTCAAGATTGTTATCAGAGAGATCAATATACTTCAAGCTCGGACACTGGGCGAAATCAGCCGGAATCTCACCGGAGAACTGGTTTCCGGCAAGAATCAGGTGCTCAAGACTTGTATTAGTACAGATACCGAGAGGAATCTCACCACCCAACATGTTATCAGACAGGACAATGAACCCTGCTTCCTTGAGCCACCCAATCTCTTTCGGCACCAGCCCAATCAAGGAATTGCTCGAAAGGTCGAGGTTTTGCAGCTTCTCGAGCCGACCAAGCGACTCGGGTAGAGCCCCATTGAGCTGGTTCCCAAGCAAGTTCAGATAAATGAGCTCAGATAGCCCACCAAGCTCCATGGGAATGGCTCCACTCAAGCTATTGTTGGCGAGATTGAGCAATTGCAGGGCCTTGAGGCTGCCAAGCTCACTCGGTATCGGCCCATGAATCTGGTTATTAGCAGCTGTAAAGATGAGAAGTCGCCTGCAATGGTCCAGCTCAGCAGGTAAAGGCCCAGTGAGCTGGTTCTCCTGTAAAACCAGGTTTTCAAGGGCCGAAAGCTCACCAATTTGGGGTGGAATTGGACCAGTGAGCTTACACGAAGCGAGGCCCAAACTCGTGAGGCTAGTGCAATTACTGATCGTTTCTGGTATCTCACCTTCGAGGCCATTATCGCCGATTCTAAGCTCTTCGAGCTCGCTTAAGAGGCCGAGCTCTTTCGGGATTGGGCCACTCAATTGGTTAGTGAAGAGGCGGAGAGTGATGAGCTTGGTGAGGTTAGAGAGCTGAGGAGGTATCAGCCCCGATAAGAGGTTGGACGACAGGTCTAGAGAGAGAAGAGAGGAGATGCGCAAGAGAGAGGTCGGAATGGGGCCTTCGAGTGCCAGGCCCGAGAGATTAAGGCCCACAACAAGGCCGTCCGAGCAGGTGACACCCGACCATCGGCACACGTTGGGGGCGGTGGAATCGGTCCAGCCATTCAGCGAAGCCCATGGGCCTCGGAGCGAGGCCTTGGCCTCGAGGAGGGCGCAGGCAGAGTCATCAGGCGAGGCACCTGTGCATGTAGAGAGGAGGAGGAGGAGGAGGAGGAGGGCTAGAGAGCCACAGTGGGCTGGTGGGCTCGCCATTTTTGCCTGAACTGAGAGATGAGACAGAGTTAAAGATGAAGAGAAGAGGTTGGGATGGGGAAGGGGCGAGTGGTGCATGTCTTTGCATGCGGTGTTGGGGCATGGCCCTGCCACCACCGCTTCTTTGGATTGGCGGATGAGAGAGAGAGAAGTGGTTTTAGAGAGAGAAACAGATGGCTTTAGAGAGAAGTAAAGAGGTGGCTTTAGAGAGAGAGATGTGGGGTTTACATAGAGGTGTTTTAGGGTTGTAGACTTTAGAGAGAGAAAGGTAGTTTTACATTGCGAAGTAGAGAAAGAGGTGGTTTTGGGGTTGCAGAATTTAGAGAGAGAAAGAGAGGAGTACGCGGTGTTTTGGAGGTGTGGGGAGATTGGGAAGAGTGAAGCACTTAAATGGGAGGAAAGAGAGTGTCAGGAAACGCAGCAAAACAATATAAACGAGGGTGGAGTGGAATTGAATGCCATTAAATGAGTTGAGACAGCTTTCTCTTTCTTCTTTCTCTCTCCTATCTTTCCATGACCATGCCTGAATTTCTCGCCTTCAGGTCCCCTAACTGCCATGCACAACCTGAGAAACCCTCACAAGCTTTAGAGAGAGAGATCTTATTAACTTTAGAGAGAGAAACAGTTAGAGAGATTATTGAGTGGGCAAGAAAATCATGGTCTGATGCACTTACTTCATTAGGTGCTTTCAGTTAAGGTCCGGCCCGAAAGCTTTTCGATTTCTTGCAGTCTCTGACGCTTCACCCCCCTTATACAAAGTCAAACCCTACCTCACGGCCTCCTGCGTCCCGACAAATCAAACCTCCCAATCCCCTTCTCTCTCTCTTCTCTCTTGCCTCTTTCTCTCCCTTCATTTGCCCCTCTCTCTCCTCTCCTGCCTCTCTCTCTCTCTTCTCTTGCCTCTTTCTCTCTCTTCATTTGCCACTCTCTCTCCTCTCCTGCCTCTATCTCAAAGCTCTTCCAATCCTTTTCTCTCTCCTCCTTTGGCTATTTCTCTCTCTACCTGTTCAATTATTGTCGCTATTCACCAAAACCAAATTAAGTAGTTGCATGCTAACCATACCCATCTAAAACCCTGATGGTGTGTTATTGTAGAGAGAGAAAACCCACTCCCCTAACTTGTACTAACTCGTGGAAGAGAGAGAGAGAAATCCAAAGGAGAGACAATGAGGTTGATATTAATCCTTTTGTAAAGTAGTCTTATTGATGTTATTATTTGGGGGTGGTACCCATCCATTGATTCCATTAACTAATCTATGCTCTCCAAGAGATGGTTCGGAAAGTCCATTCGTTGAACCACCCCTCTACTTCAATGATGAGGAGTATTCTCATAATGTATCTTTGATGAAAATCATAAAATAATCATACTTTCTTGACTCTATTTGCTGTTAATTCGAGTATTTTATGTTATTTGTCAATATAAAATGATATATTAAAAAGTAAACGCAACGAAAGATAGGGATATAAAGATTCAAAAATATATTTAAGTTATTGTTGTTATAATTACATTTATTAATGAAGATGATCAATAATTCTACAGCAACCGCTCTAAAAGTACTAGAACAACACTAACAAAAATTATTTGGGTAAAGTTAAAAGGAAATAAAGAGCTTGTGTGCATGTAAATTAAACCCCCAAGAGATAAGTCTATACACTAGAAATACACGGATAGTACTCTCATACCTCCATTAGAGTCGAAAAACAAGAAATCGTGAAGTCAACATAGGATCAATATTAAGTTAAACTTAACCCACATGAGATATTTCTCATACCGGAATTGTATACAATGAGATCATTTAGGTGGTCACAATTACTTACAACTATCCAATGTGAAATTTGATAGCTTGGATATGTCACAAAGTTCGAAAAAAAAAGTTTGAAGTTTGAGTTTGGTCAATGGAATACTTGCAGCCACCCAATTTCACATCCAATGGTCAAGATTACTATGACTACCTTGTACCAAAGGTAAATGGTCTCATTTTATACTTTCTTATAACAAAATACCTCATAATAAGCCCAAATTATGCTAAACTTAGGAAGCGACAAAGCCTATAGAATTGAAGATCATAGCTACTCACAATGTACTTCACTTTCGGTTAAGTTATTTGGAGGTTGATGAATAGTTATTTTGGGCTAGATGAATACTTAACAATGGTGTAAGAAGGGTGAGGATCTTCAAGTTTTCTTTAACCCGTCCTAAGTCTAAGTAAAGGAGATGAGCTATATTAGGTAGGCAGCTAATATAAAATTTTACCAAACATTTCCATGAATCATCGAGTTGAGATGGATGAGTGGCAAGACAATGATAAAATTTAAAATAAATACATTCGAAAGTATACTTAGGTGGTCTGGTCATGTACAGTATAGACTTAAAACAACACTATAAGAGATGTGATTTGGTTCAACTGGGAAGCTCTAAAAAAAGATAAGAAAATACCCTAAAAGACATGGATAGAAGCAATAGTGACATATAATATTTATTGAAGATACGACACTTGATAAAACGAATGGTGGAATATGATTTGTATGGCTGATCCCAAATAGTTGGAATAAACCTTCGATTATGGTGATTATGAATGGTTAAAAACTCAAAAATTAGTTGAGCACAATGGATTATAAACCCCACGCTTACATGAAATAGAGATCGAAAACAATGAGCATCAGGTGATAGATGCTTAGAAAATAGGACCCTACAATTTAATCGAGAAAGTTGAGAATGTCATCTGACGTAAGGTGGTGGAAATGAGGGTTCGACTAAGTCGAAGTTTGAAAAGGCTCAGTTTGTTGTGAAACAGGATTTGAAAAAGTTGATTTTGCGAAAATGATCAGACCGTATGAGAGTGACCCCTAAGAACTTCAGCTTTCCGGGTCTTATGCAACAAATTTCTTGCACACATCCCCATTTTAAACTCTTCCTCAAAAGTCAAACAAGATGTTTTGTTCATTCATCGTTCAACCTAGTGTTTTAGAAAGAGTTATTTACGTACGATTCTTAAATAAGATAGGAAAATAAGAGTTGTTTTTTTTATATATATATATATGAAAAGTATGATCAAGGTTGATCAATGTAATTTTTTTTTTGATAGAATTATCCATCGATTTAAAAATGTCATCCTCGAAATGTTTTTTTTTTTTTCAAAACTTAAAGTTGTGGTTCGAGAATGCTATCTTCGGATCACAACTTTAAGCTTTGAACAAAAAAAGTGGTATGCGGATGTGCTTTTTTTTTCTTTTTTTTTAAAAAAAACTTAAATTTCGGTCCAAAGATTTAATATGTTTTTTTTTTTAAAAAAAAAGTGGTTCGAGAATGCCATCTTCGGACCGCAACTTATGTTTTGAAAGAAAAAGAAAAAGAGGTCCAAGAATTTCAACCTCAGACTGCAATTTAATTTTTGAAAAAAAAAAAAAACAATCCGAAAATTTCATCCTCGCACCTCAACTTAAGTTTTGAAAAAAAAAAACTCAAATCGAGGGATAATTTTATTAAAAAAAAAATTCGACATCGACCGACATTAATTGCTTGATTGTAATTTTTGGATATAAATGGAGCAACTCGTATTTTTCTATCTCATTTAAAGCCCGTACGTAATTAATTCTTTCTTGAATCAAAGACTCACCCAATCTTGAATTCCAATTTGCTTGATCTGACGTGTGTGGTTTCCAAGTCAGATAGGGATATACTCAACAAAAAAAATCCGAAGTTACCAAAATTTCAAGAGACTCAGGCAATTCGAGAGAATTTTGGCCCAAAATCACCAACCTGCCTATCTAATCCACGCCTAACTCTTGCTTTTGATTCCTTGCCTCTGATGCAACGTTGTAGCTTTTATTTGAAAACAATTTGTATGGGCTACTTGATCATTACAACTTTCGATCGTTAAAAGGTTCGAATATGGAATATTTCTTTTTTTGGGATAATTAAGTGGGAAGACATGCCGTTTTTTTTTGAAGTTTTTTTTAAGTGGGGTGGTGTTCTTCATAATGTAAACTACAATTTGGTAACTAAAGTGTGGGAGTGCTACCACTACGACCTCAACCTCAACCTCATCATCGAACATAGATTATTAACCTGAACATAAATTGCAAAAGCAAGACCATATCTCCTCTCTTATAGGCTCAAAGCTAGTGGTGGGTACCATAACTTGATATCTTGAATTTACTCCTATCATGAGTACTCAATTCTTTCATTAAGGAACTACCAAAAAAGAATAAAACTCCCACCCTCTACATTAATGGCAAAACAAGATACTTTCTCTCTCTCAAACCAAATTTATTTTAAAGTTCAAAAAAAGAAAACTAAAATCCCATTTTATTATCGTTTTTAAATACCCGTTTGTCAAAATTTAGTTTGTAAGAAGCCTTAGGCAAAATTTATTCGGTAGCTACCCCTTGCATTGGTCCCTAAAATGCGGAGTTGTTTCATCAAGAGACTTGCATCAATTTGAAGGTTTCATCCCAGCCAATAGACATGGTGTTGTCCCAATATTATTTTATCTAGAAAAAAGTTTATATAAGGTTGCAATATTATACTATAGAAGTAAGGTGGACTCAAAAATCTAATAGAAAAAGAGTGTTCAAAGTTATTTGATCATTTCGACCTCAAGATATATTGATATTAAAATAACAATAATTTTTAATCTTAGAAAAAAATGTGTCTTGTAATAAATTATCTGGACCATCATTTTCAAGATTTTTAAATGTTTATAGATATGCTCGATTTGCACAATTTTTTAAAATTTTAAATTTTATAATTAGGGTGATAAAGTTTCCAATACTGGAATTGCATCTTCCAATAAAATTTAGAGGTATTCCTTACTTGATAGTATAAAGTTAGCACCAATGTTGGCAAACTCGGTCAATCCAACTCGGAACCAGGCAATAGCTAATCCGGTTTTGGTGGTCCAATCGGGTATTTTAAAAAATATATATATAAATCCCAAAAAATAAAGGGATTTATTTGTAATGTCTCTTTGATATTTTTTATCATTTTGGCAAAGAATGGAAAGTGTTTTGTCTATGAATACTTATTTGTACATTTTTTCCATCTTTTTAGAAATATTTAAAAAAATACCACTGGCACAAATCAGTTTTTTAAAATCATTTTTTCACTAATTTTCAACTTTATTTGGATGAGCTTTGTTTAATCATGCTTCAAATATACTTTTTATTTTCTTTTTTAAATTTTTTTTGTATTTTTTTAACACTTTTTGGATTAGTTGGGCTCTGCCCAATTAAGCCATTTGAACCAGCCAATTTACCGGTTACTCAAACCGGCCATGAGCCAATTTTCAATCCCCGTACGCCTTTTCAAACACCGGTCGGCACCTTATACAAATCACACCATTTTATCTATTATAGTGCAAGAGGGGCCTATCAGGACCAAAACACCAAAAAAAAATCATCCAAATCTGATCACAAGTGCGTTTAGAATAAATTTATGTGATTTGAACCCCATGATGTGGTGTGTGCGGTGAAAGGCACAATATATGTCATGCATATATTTAACGTTCCAAAAAAAAAAAATCATGCATAGATGGTAATATTTAGTAATTGTCTGAACATGGATAATTTTGTCATTCTGGCCATATCCCCTCAATGGGACGTCGAAATCACATGGTGTATCAAAATATCTATTCAACTCATTGACAACTTGACAGGATTTGGATAAAAATTGACATATTTTTGGCAGTTTAACTATAAAGGTGCCAGTTA